TTTTTGTCTCCTGTTTTTGAAATCTTGATAATTTTTTTAGGATAATAAAGTATTTTATTTTAATACGTCCAAGTGGAAGGTAGCGATCCAGTTGAAGCCATTTTGTGTGACTGTTTGAGAAACTCATAATCAGGTCTTTCAAGTCTGGCCGGTCAGGCGTGCCTGCTGCTTTTTCTGTTTTAAAATCGGGTATAACATTTGAATGGAGGAGTGTCCCGTGGTTTTAAAGCTCAGAACTTAGTTCTACTGAGGAGACGTCAGAATTCGGACATCTCGGTTTCTTTTAATTGCAAAATCCCAGGAGTCCCGATTTGTCGGAATTTCTTTAATTCACGATGTTGTGACTTTCTTGCTGATGGACTGTGTTAGTTTTTAGTGTTATTTTCACCTGCTTATAATATGGAAGTTTTGAAAGGAAGCCACACCCATGATGCCCTTTCGGGGCCACCGTAGAGAAAAGATAATGTACACTTAATCATGGTATAACGACTTTCCCCGAGCCTGCGCCGTGTGGCGTTAAAGCCACTGGCGGACCGTGTTTTTCTCAAATAGGAGCAGCCATGGCGACTCACGCCGCATCGGGGATCCGTTCAGGGCTTGTCTGGATTAATGAGCACTGCTGTGTCCAGACGACTGTATTAATCGGGGGGCTTAGCCCCGCTAACGTGATTTCGACTGACGATTTCAGCAGGTTGTTCCGAGATTTTGTCCAGTCACAGGTGGAGAGTGCATTTTTGGGAGGGGTACGGATGGCTATGGCTCTTTTTCCCAGATTGATGTCCCATGGTTCGAGAACTTTACCTTTAAGTCTGCATCAAAGTTATACAGATATGGCCTAGCCTTGCCTAGTGAAAGTCTGGGAATGGTTGACATTTTTCTGGTAAAGAAGGCATTACAGTATTCTAAATTACCTTCAAGATGTAAAGCGTGTAAATTAATGCAGCACAATAACTTACTAATTGGCAAACATTCTCATTCTGCTGATAGGGCAAGATTTTAATTGGACTTAAATCAGATTTGTTGAGTATCTCTTATTTTCCAACTTCGGTGAGGATTCCCTCTTCCTGATTGCATAAATAATGCAAGTTGCTCATTCCCATTCAGATATCGCATATGCTTTTCTCTGGCGGTAATCTCGAAGACAAGTATATAAAACGTATAGATTTTGATGTGCACAGGCGCAGTAGGACAAAATCACCCTTTGACGTCACATTACGTGGGTAAATGTGTTTCAACTATCAGCCAGCCCACTCCCCCTCGATACAAGTTAGAGTGTGCCTTAAACATTAAGAGCCATGCTGTAAATATGAGGTACTAGACGAGCAACAGTCTGTATCGTATTGGGATGAAAAATGATTTAAGTTGAAGTACATGTCACTGAAAACACATTAATGTATAGCTGTGATAATTGGTCCGACGTATACCGCACTGAAGGTTTAGAATTTGCAAGGAATTTAGGGGGAATGCAGTGAGTGATTTATCATACGTGTCATATATGCAGCAATAAAAAACCGCCAGACTTATATTTGAGAAAGCGAAATGCCTTGTAAAAATAGAATTTCTCGAAAATTATGACTGAGCTCTCGGAATGTTTAAGTGATATGACACACGGTCGACCCTTGCTTCTCTGCACTCGGCAATACGTACTCCAGAATACTCGTAATTAGAAGAACAAACCTGGAAGGAAGGCACTGGAAGGTAAAGGCAGCAGTCTCTCTTGCAAACAAAATCTTTTTTTGTCTGTTTGTAGACTGCAAAGCAAGAATCCCATCCAAACTTGCCAGTTTACTTTCTTCAATTACAAATTGGTAACCTCCTTAAGTAACAGGAACAGACCTTCGATGTGTGAGATATTATCGTTTCATTGCGTTACCAGAAAAAATGGCAGAAAAGCATTTAAAAGAATTCCCTTTTCCATGTTACACATGACAGAATAAAATATTAAACAGCGTCTTGGGTAGTCGTGTTCTGATCTTTGTGTATCGAACTCTAAGGCTGAGAGTGAAAGGTCTGGATGATCAGTGTGCACCAAGAAGAATCTGTCGGCAATGACTCAGGCGGCTGCAGTGAGTCATCGGCTACGTATTACAAGCGCGAACGAAGAACTTTAAACTCACAGATATGACCACGTGCGGAGGTTCCGGTGGGCTGACGAAAGATAAGTCTGAACGCCGGCAGAGAAATGTCAGTAATGTTCCAGCTTGGCGCGTGGAGGGAATGGAAGAGATTAAGATAATGCAGGGAGCCTCTTCTCTTAATTGAATGAATAACAAACGTGGGCCAGGGTGCATTCTTTGAGAACCTACGTTATGGTTGACCTGTGCATTATGGATGACATAATGTCGTGTCAGATTAATAAATGAGGCAATTCTGTAGCACCACCCAGGGGAAGATAATGATAAGCGAGGAAGATATTTTTGATCTTGCTCCTAACACCTGCTTCATGCACTGTAAACTGTCGATTAGATGGTACCCGACTATTTTACTGCCTAGCATTCAAAATCTGGCTTCCAATACCAGATATGCTTTACTACAGCTTTGACATTATTTATCAGAACACTATCGACCGGTATTAAGTTGTCGTGAGATTCATTTTATTGCTTACTCCTCTGAACTTCTAAAAATGTAGGGTTGACCTCGCTTTTCAATTAATAGAACCTTCAAAATGCACCGTTGTGTCTCAGTTAACCTCGTTTTGATTCTTTCGCACTCTTCAAAGGGTTTTGCTGCTATTTTGGTTTTCGCTTGTGAGTCCTCCCATGATTCATGAGCAAAACTATGATGTAATCCCTGCAAGAAGACAGCCTCAGTGTTACGTCGGTTAGCGTACAAAAACTCCTGTATTTTCAAGGATTTGAGGGCCTTAATTGCTCCACTTTGATGGTTCACTGTTATGGAAGTATACAATAGCAATAAGCAAGCAATCGTCCCTTTCTCTGCGAGTAGATTCTGGGTTCACAATTTTAAGAGAAAAGCACGTGCACTGAACCATGTCTTCCCTGGATGACATCATAGCAACTGCGCCCCCAGTTGCCTGAAAAAGCATGGATAATTTTCAATGTTTAAAAAGTACATTTTTTATTGCATTCATCCTGACAGGGATGTCAGCATTTCGTACACTGAAGAACAGGAATAAGTGGCAGGATAATTGTGTTCAACAAAAATTCACCTCAGCCACACTTTAAGGAGTAACATGCGTATTACATCTTGTCCCGGTTTATGTATATATAAAAGCATATAAAACATGCTCAGCACACATTCGCGTTTAGAATTCTGCTAAAGAGGGTAATTTTTACGAAGCGTGATATAGCAAAATCAAATTCCGTTAATTAAAACAGAGCTTAAGGAGTTCAGCCTTAGTGGTGCCGGAACAAATTTGACCAGCCTTGGCAACTCAAGGTAACTGAGGGAGGGGATGCAAGGGGGAGGTTAAAGGGGAAGCCTTGGCAACATGAGGTTTGTAAAACATGTGCATGCATTATAGGCTTGCTCAGATTTTGATGTGTTAGAACAAGGGATTCATTCGACGCTATTTCTGTGCTTGGTTTATTTTGTCTTTTTCTTTTTTTTTGTGAGCGGGAAGCAGGCTTGTCCAGACAGCTGGCTGATTTTTTTCTCTACATCCGAAGACGCGATTTAGCATTTGAGATGTTGGCTTGAACAAAAAAGTTTGCAGCGGAAAATGTGATGTTTTTACGGTAATTTCCTCCCTAACAAGGTCCAAAAAAAATAACCTTATTGAAAAACGGTAAAACCTCAGAAGTTAAAGAAAATAGTAAACATTGTCATTTTACGTGACAATTGTAGTAGGCATTTTGTGTTAGCCTCAATTATTTCAATTATTCATAGCGTAGGCAGCTGATATTTTGACTATCGTTGGAAAAATGTTCAGAAAGTTGCTTTAAGGTATGGTTATCAAGATATTTGTTTTTGTTTTGCTTTGTTTTGATATTGGCAGCGCCTATGTCCCCCAACCGACATGAAACAAACTGATAAAATTTATGAATTGGTTCCCTACACATATTTGCCACCCCTCTGTAATTTACCCGTAACCACCCTGTACAGCATTTGCCCAGCAATGGTGAATTGTCATCTGTCCATGTTTTCGTCTTCTCAGTTGGTGTGATGCCCTGCCCAGTCGCGAAGGCATAAAAAGTTTTACATAGCGAATACATAGCTCGTAATTGGGCACGCTAGAAGTGGGTAATCGATGAGTTAGGGGATAATGTGCTCACAATGCGCCTTCATTATCAGTGTCTTAATACATCCAGAGGTATTTCCTTTCTGCCATGTTCTTAGAGATGGAGCTGACGTTCCTATTATGTGAGCGGTTTTTGTGATTCATAGCGGTTTTGGCTCCGGGAACATGCATGCCCTCGTTGTTAGGCCCTCCTGGGTTTTTTGTTCTGTACGGGAAATAAGTAGGAAACGGAGATATTGGGATTATTTCCCTCGGTGAGTTGATCAAATTATCCGCGGCAAATACTTTAACAAGCCTCTCGCCTCCATTTCCTGCCGTTGAAGGGGAGGGGAAACCACAGAGGCCTGAAGCAAACTTAACCCCCAAAAATGAAACAAAATCAAAAAGAGTCAAACCATTTCTTCGTGTGTGGCTATTTTTCAAGAATGTTGATATCCACGAGGACACGTACGTGTAGAACGCCGTGCGTCATATGCATATTATGCATAGAAAGTTTACAGCTCATATTTTATGCGTCCTGAGCATAACATGCACATGACGTGCGTCGTTCTACGTGTCTTCCTTTCCGTCAGCCTTTCCCTGCAGACTACATATTAAGGTTTAACATCACATTTGGCTAATTCTAGATATTGACACAAGGCTCATGATTACCATTCAGATGAAAAGATGACGAATACGATTGAAGCAATTGGAATTTCGGCAACAATGTACATATAGACTAGATTTATTATAGATTAATTATAGCTCTCTACTAGCCCTTGCATCTCATACTGTTCATTCCCCCTTTCCTCGTTCCCAGCTCCCATCCTTCCGCCTACCAATGTTCAAGTCCAATTCACGGGCCCCAAGTCTTTCACCGTGGCCTGGGACCCGCCACCGCACCCAGTCACGGGCTACACGCTGGCCTACAGCGGTGGCAACGTCCAGATCGCTGCGGACCGCACCAACGTGCACGTGGTCAGCGAGCAGGACCTCGACCCGAGCAGGTTCACCATGGGGTTGTACTCCCAGACCTCGGCCGGCTACAGCACCACCGACGTGTTCTCTGTTTTGCATCCCGGAGATTCGAGTGAGTGAATCGTGTTTTTTTTTTTTATTTCGTTCTCTCTTTTCAAGTCACTGACCTCATCTAATACTCGCTCCTTTCCCGATGGCAGGCATACCTGTTTGTCGTTGTGCCATAATTTGGCCGGGAAACAGAATGATTAAATCCCATCCCGTGAGAGATGACCACATGATGGATCACAAACAAGCACTCGGGTTGTGTGTACTGGAACACGGGACTAGTTTTTAAACACGTTTTTACTTCGCACAGTACCTCCAAATTCAAGCAAGACGAATGCATATATACTTCGGTTTTTTTTCTTGGTTGAGCTTTAACAATGTCTATTACAAAATAAAGTCATTCAACAATATTAAGGAAAACTGGCAACGTATCGCACCCGAGAAAGCCGAGATGCGGGACACATTGTTGCAGTTGTGCAGGGTAATTTTTACTCGCAAAAGAATATGGACAACATTCAAGGATGGATCCAGAACAAGACTTTTGGGAGGCCCGATTTTTTTTTTGGGGGGGGAGGGTTGTAGAAATGTGAAAATGTTTATGTAACATTTTAGGACCTGTTTTATGGGTACGGCTATACTTTGGGGCTTTCTACATGCTTTGGGAAATTAACTAAATAAACATCGCCTTTTTCTCATTATTAAAAAAATCTCAATTTGCTCTTGGGGGGGGGTGGGTGTTGGATCTGCCAGTGCCAACACGTCCTTGTATACACCTGTATCAATTTTATCTCACACGCTTCACGACACTTCTCGCCAGGAATACCCCCGCCACCGTCGGGTCTTCGGACCCTCATCCTACCGGACACCTTGAACCTAGAGTGGGCCACCCCCGTGGGCGAGTTTGAGTTCTACCGCCTCATCTTCTCCAAGGACGGCATGGACGAGTTGTCGGTCGACCTCTCGCCGACGGACACCTCGTACACCATCTACGAGGTCAGTGGGAGCTTCTACACCCACCTATACACCGTTCGGAACGGGATCATCAGTGAGGCTGGCAAATGGAAGAAACGGACCAGTACTGTTGAAGGTAAGACTTCACCCTGCCATCCATTGCAACTGGTATACTATGGGGAGAGGTATTATTCTTAGAAAAACCAACCCATTCAGCTGCCCATTCAGATCAGCTCCACTGACCCTAGATTTTTCAACAAGAGGTTTTATTTTAAACTATATTTTAGGACTTTTCTTGGAAGCAGTGTGTTTGGCTATAGTCTTGTTTCATTTCCCCTCATAAAGCTCTTGTATAAATCCCTTGGTTGTGAAGCTTTACTTCATTTTTCTTTCCGTCTCAGCCCCCCTACCACCAAAAGATGTCTTCATCCAGCAGACTGGTGATTACTCCTTCACCATTGCATGGACCCCTCCCGAGGACACCATCGACGGATATGTACTGATGTACAGCCCCAATCAAAGTAAGGCCTAAGACAAGTCCAAAAGTTCTGACCTCTTGAGAGCGATTATTAAAAATGTTCGAAACTTAGAAAAACAAACAGACAGATTTGCGAAATAACTCCCTATTAATGCTGCATGACTTCGGGAGAAACGTCTGGTAACTACTTTCTAGTTCACCCCTGAAAGTGATACATCAAAACAAGGCTTAGCCTATCTGTTGGATTCCAATAACAACCTCCATATCCAATGCATGCGTATTAAAAACTTACATGTAAAACCAATAGATATTACACGTCTTGAAAAATTGAAAGTTAGCGCATCATTTTTCCATTGCGAAAAACAGTGTCATTTTGTAGCTAAGGATTGGTTTCTATCCAGGAACAATTCAACTTTTTACCATATTTATGAACGGTGTTTTAGACTGACAAAAAACACACATCCTATGACCTGACCTTTGTATCAAATTACATGCAGTAGCACTTTCGGGATTCTTGCAAATTATCATATTCTCACTACAACCTTTGAAATTAAACAATCAGTCAAATTAGAACCTGCATTCTCTTAATCTATATCTCCTCTTTTGATATTTTCTTCACAGTTTTACCAGAGAGGAAGATTTTACTTAACGATTCCATGACACATATGCACATCGTATGCGAGGCCCCCATCACAACCCAATTCCGAATCGGGTTCGTGTCCGTCAAAGGCCAATTACACAGTGACCCAGGCCACGTGCGGCTACTCCTACCCGGTCACGAAAGTGAGTGTACCTCAGTTTATACTTTGCAATCAAATATTTGCAAACAGAATCAACCTCACAGTTGTGTTTGTATCGGAAAGAGACGTCTGGATTCCAGACTAGTCTAGACGTCATCATGGCACTTTTCGTAAAAAAATGAAACGTTACCATTTCAAGAAGGGCAGAACAGACTCAAAGGAGTCAGTGACCCAAAGTGTCCTCGTTATTTCAGAAAAACAGTGCTGCTTGCCTTTAAAAGTATATTTAGTGGATTTAAAGGGCAATTACGTACACGTGTTTCTAGCTGGAGGCTTTAAAAGCTCCGAATTTGAAAAGGTTTAAAGAAAAAAAAAGACCAAAGCAGCCTGTCTGAAATTCGTGGGCACGACCTTCAATTCATGCAATTAATCATGCAAGTTCCCTTTTCTCGTGGTAAAAACATGGAATTTGTTGCTGTGAATTTGTTTGAAAAGACATTTAGCCAGTGTAGTATTCCAGTAATGCATGCCCATAGTGAAGAGAGTCCATGGTCATTTTGGAACAGCGATATCAACCCGCGACATCGTCTGCCCCAGTGATGTACAGAACCAAAACATTTTCAGTTTTTAGTTCTGCGATTATGACCTGTCCATCATCTGCTCTGTACGCGTACTTTGTTCTTGATCGACCTTGCCTGTTTGAAATGCCGAACTTGCTCACTGACGTGAAATCAACTCAGATCTTGGTCAACCGACCGAACCAAACTCTGGCACGAACTCTCACGAGAGTGAAGGGAGTTTATTTTTGTGGCCAAACGCCGCGTGTGCCAAATATCAACCGGCCGAGCAACGGTTGTCAAGTTGTGTTTGAATGCATGATGCTTGAACGGTACAAGGCTAAAGAACTTCATGGCTGCCATACTCGCTGGAAGGTGTGGTACAATTGAAAGTGTTTTGAAGGTTCCAAATTACATGGACTTCTTCTCCGATATCAAGGCCATTATCATGTACTCTAATTACTAGTGTGACCTTCTGCATCGGAAAAAACGCCAGTTCTGTTTTGGAGACGACTGAACAACAGTCAAATCTGTAGCTAATGCTGATTACATAGCCACACGTTTCATTGCCAGTTGACAATAACTGTTCCTGTTCCACTTCCCCTGTGTCCCCAAGAACAATTAATCGATTTCCAGCATCTGGAATTCTTTGGGAGGACACAGAAAGAATTATGTAACACAGGATGTTTCCACAGACAATTGGGCTCATGCCCAGGTCTCATTAGTACTCTGCGTTACCGATTATCTGGACTCAAGGGATTGCGCTTAATAGCATGTGATTTGTTTTTGGGTGGGAGATTTTGGAACTGGGTGGATCGCACTGGAACAGATGGGACTAATTCAAGATGCATGTTGAGCGCTCAGCAACGCCAGGAGGAATCCTCTCTCACCCAGTTTTTGATGGAAAGTATTTCGGTCTTTCGACTCACCTGATCGCTTCCTTACCTTATTATTCCTTCGTCTGGCGGCGAGAACAAAACAGAGAGGGGCTTGGAACACTGCACTTTTTTCTTGAACACTTACACTTGATGGGTGTAGTTTAGAGGCTCAAGCCTTTCAAAGCCATTGGCCATTTTCTTTATACTTGTCGATCTTTCCTCTAAATTGGTTGTCATCTTTACGTTCACCACCTCGTGTGTAAGCCTGGTTTCCATATGGTCGACTCGACTATCAAAGCACCATACGAAAGCACAGATAATAAACAAAGTGTGACGTTATCAGTAAAGAGGTCTATTCCACCATGGCGGTAGAAAAAGATCTTTTCCTAACCCCATGGTTCTACATAATTTGCAAGTCTCTGGAAGAAAATGTACTTTCTGATTCAATTCCTTGTTGCGCTGCTTCTTGGGTGGCTTGATTTTGTGGCCTCTGGTTCCAATGTTGTGGGACGAACAAAACAGGTGTTCCGGCTTGATCTTCATCCAGAGTATCTTGAACACCTCACTCTCCTTACCTACAAAGAGTTCTAAAACCGTCAAGATATGGGACGGAAGGGTACACCCACAAGCATGTCCAAACTCTAAAGACACTCTCGACTGTTATTAGTTACCACCCGTTTCAGACAGACGTCCCAGGGTCGAGCCGAACCAAATAGAATTAACAGCCACTCGGGCAGACCCAATTAAATTTTGGCTTCATACAGACGAACTTCAGATATACATTTGTATTTGGTTCGGCCCATGAAAGAGCGACGTCTGAAACCAAGTCGCTCTGGTGTCGTTCCAAGCGCCTTGGTGTGTCGATCTTTCGCCTGCCAGCACGCCTGGTCGCTCCTAATTGTTTCAGACGTCGAACATCTTCCGTACTTCATTCGAAATTTGCTTGCGGTTTGGTTGGGCGCAACTCCAGATCGCCTGTCTGAAACGGGTGTAACACCCCCCCCCATGTCTGAAAAGAATTCCCGTGATTCCGGTATAACATTACCAACACATAAGGGGAGGGGGTTCTCGCCGTCCCATATTTTGCTTCAGATGTGGAGTTCAGATGTTGCCTATCTTTCATCATGGCCTAAGGCTTAAGACCAACTGAGTATGCCCTCCATTGTATCTTTTCAAGTAGCTTGATATCCTTCATCTGATATGGAATTCTGGTCCCATGCCTGCATACAGTATTCAAGTTGGTCTCATGTATGCCTTGTAGAGAAGATGGACAGGCTCTTCTTATCTATGCGACTAAATGTCCTTTTGATCCTCATTACTTTATAGAGCTAGGCTGTGTTTTCACATTGTACAGATGATTGCATGTTAGACAGGGTCTCTGCAGTGGAATATATATTTGACACAAACCTTCAAAATGCACCTCTATGCCTCAGTTAACTTCACTTGACATTTCTCTTTCACTACATATGTACGAAAGGGTACTTTGCCGCCTTCTTGGTTTTTATGCTTATAACAAGTATTTCCATATTCATGAACAAAATGTCAAGTACCTTTCATAAATTGAAGAAGAATATAAAGTTGCAGAAAATTGTGTCTAAGAAAAAGGTCAAGGAACTACAGTGATCAATGAAACATGGCAAGCTGATGATACAATTTATACAGAAATAGTGTGACGTCACGAGGAACGGTCACCGTAGGTTGCATTCGTATATTCTGAACTAGACGAATTTGGGGGCGAAGGTCAATGTGATAATGTTGAAACTCTTTATTATTTTTTTCACGAGCGTTTATGAAGAAAGCAGCTGCCGAAAACCTTATTTAGGAAGTTGTGAAGGTGAAGGTCAGTGGCTATATGGGGCGTAGTTAATAGATGGCAGGGTGGTCGGCTAACCCCGTTTGGTCCCAAACCGCTGGCCTTTCTTGTGGGTTTGCATCGTGATCCGAAGGATGATTCACGCCAGTGCATGCATCTTTTCTACAGATTTCATCTAATATCGTTCTTGTGAGGAAATGTCAATTTTCCGTAAAGGTCAAAGAAAATCTTTTGATAAAAAAAGCAGGGCTGGGAGCTGCTCTGCGCATAATTTGGGGCATGCAGCAACTGGTCATATAGCTTCACTTTTGGCCTGTCTGAGGTATAGGGAAACTTGGAAATTGTTGTGAATAATGTTTAAGTGAAGTCCCAAATCCTTGAACGAATGTGGAATTTTTTTGACTTGATATCTAAAAAGAATTTGATTCACTAACCGGGTTTTGGTGAACAAAATAAATGATGTAATCTTTATAGCTACAGCGTGTAAGAAGCAGAGGGGAGAGAGGAATTTCTGCACTGGCACTCAATCGAAGGTGTGTCTTTACGGGTTTGACTGAATAAGAGTCTCGTTTCCACACTGTCGTATGCTTGCAGAACCACAATTACTACAAGAAATCTGAAGTCAAACTTGAAAGCATTTTGCGGCTGCGCGAACCACCCGCACAACCCCCCTCATTCTGTGGAATCAATAAACAAGAGGTAATTTTGAAAATGTTATTTGGACGCAAATTAACTTGTGTCATTTCTATCGACAACTCGGGGATGCAAAATTGTGCTAGGTTGTCTGAAAAGTTGTTTTGAAATTCGGAAGGAAGGTTTCGGGTTGTAGAAGCGAAACAGGTTGAGCCGGGTGTCCTCATTTTTGATCGATGGCTGTCGAGTATTGGTATCTGGCCGCTGGGCACAGCCCTCTATACCCCGCCCTTGGATTTCAGCCAGGTGGATTGTAAATAGAGATCCCCATGATGTTGTCGGATATACTGTTAGTATTTTGACCAAACGTATACCTGACCTGCATATTTTGCCCCAGACGGCGCAGTGTCCCAGGTCTCCTTTCGCCGCTAAGTCCCCCGTCATTTCATGACAGGAGAAGTTAGTCAGCGCGGTGGCTAAAGAAGGCGGTTCCGGCTCGTGGGAACTGTTAAGCAGTAACCGAGGTTTATGTTGCTCCTGGCTGTGATTCAGCCTCTAACCAGAGGCAAGCCGTCTCAGTAAATCCCGGGCCAAGTGCACCCTTGCCCAGTGTCCACCGAGCATGGATGTGTTTGTACCGCACCCTGGAAATTTGTCATCGATGTCTGCAGCTTAGGTTTTTGTCCCGGCCGCACAGGCCCGACCTAATTGTGTTTTCGTATATAACTCCTCGCGAAGCATTCGAAAGGTGATGATATGGTTTGCTGCAAATCATGTACATTAAATGGACTTATACACGTTTTTGCGGTTTTTTTCTCCCGAAGCTTGCTGTTTTCGCTGAAGTGAGAAGTCTTTCCCGGATATATCAATCGAGTTCCCATTTTAACGCTGGGGTCGAAAACGGAAGTCCCGTCAACAGACTACCCATTATAAGAATCCAAATATGACTCGGTGCAGAGTCAATGTCTCAAAGAAATAGTAGGCCTACGGTCAACTGGGGGTATTTAGCGGGCAGGTTTTTTTCTGTATTGCACGGCAAGTCTGGCTATTTCCCATGGTATTTGTTAGCACCTGGGTCATAAACAGGCACACGGCAACAACAAAAATTGGTAGTTGTCTTTGAATACCATTAAGATTCTATGCCTGCTGACCAGGCCACCCGCAGCTGCAACTTTTACATACAGCACATCGGATATTGCAAATGAAAATTTACGTAATTCATAAAAAAGGTACCTTTACCAAAATGCTTTTGAATGTTAAAAAAAGCAATATTCCGTTAGGTATTGTCTATAATCTGTTTTGTCACTTTGTAGTCAGAAGTACCTTACGTAATAAATGTAATAAGGGATGGGCTTCGGCCACGCTACCCAGGGTACCAAAGTTATCCCTATTTTTGTAGTACAGGGCTTAAGCCGGGTCACCAATTGTGTATCTTTACATAATGAGCAAGTTAGTATTCCAACAGCTCATGCCCAAGGCAGAGTAAGGTCTGCCCTGTCAGTGCTGCCATACGCCAACTCGCACGCTATAGGCACGTACTCTTGAATAAGGGCGATTCATAATTGGCGCCTCCAAGAGTTTGCAACGCGTTGGCCAATCACAACGCGTGAAATCTGTCGACCCTTTTCAACACGCACTGGGTCGACAGATTTCGCGAGTCTTGATTGGCCAGCGCATTGCAAACTCTTGTAGGCGCCAATGTGAATCACCCGTATTACCTTGACTTTTTAAAATACCAAAGAATTTCGCCCTGCTCGTTTATCAAATTATTTTTAAACATACTGCAGTGTGAACCAGATTTGAAATATTGCAACTAAACGATTCTCGGTATTTCAATGACAGTTTGTGGTTGCTTTGGGGGAAATATGAGTTGAAAATGACTGGTGGAAACCACCGTTACGGTTGACGGAGCGCTGACGCCGTTGAGTCACTCACGTTGAAACATTAACACAGAAAGTTCAGTTAAGTGTGTTAAAGCTTTCCACACTGTCTGCCTTCGGATATGACGCGTAAAAACTATTTATGTAGCCTGTCTGCATTCGACCAACGGATTTGAAGAGATAAATCAAAACAATGAGAGTTAGTACGTGCATGTTGCGTAACTACACCTTGCGATGTTATGACATGGATACTGGCTCTGTATAGCGATACAGGTTTCTATTAGTGAACAATAGTTATCAACAACATGACATTGTGCTTCAGGGTAGAGTCACCTTTATTGTATATTTTCAGATGTTCTCATTTTCATGATTTTTTATTCCGCTGTCATTCTTCTCCCACCTATATACGTGTATATATTCCATCTGGCAACAGTTATCACTGAGGCGCCGATGGTAGTCGTGTGTGAGTAAATCAAACAGAGCTGTCGTCGAGTACCGTCATTTGTTTTTCATTTCCCGCTGTGTTCTTGACAAGCAGAGTTACCTCCGACACCAGTCGTCACCCAGCGCTTGCTGACGCCTTCCTCTGCTCTCCTCGAACTGAGTCCTGCGCCTGGTAGGCTCGATTTCGACAAATACCAAATGACTGTGAACCGGACCGACGAGCTTTTTTCTGTGTCACTAAGCAAAGAAACGACGGGGTACATTGTGGACAAACTAACTCCTGGAAGAGAGGCTATCGTGCGAATCATCTCTCTAAGGAACGGTATAAAAAGTGACCCAGTACTGATTCAAGTTCCGGATCCGGAGATTCGAAGTAAGTTAAATCTTCATGAAGTTTTCAATTTTGTGTAATAATTTTCACAGCAAAACTTGTTTCTATTTTTAGCGAGGCATTGCCAGAATTGGGTATTACTCTTTTTTATGACAGAATGGGAATGCAGATCACAGGAACACTGTGAAAGCTTTAACCCGTACGAGATGTGTCTCTTGTCTCTGTCGGTTCTTTTTTTTTTAGTTGGTTTGTCGCTCCTTGAACAAGCCTTTTGCGAGTTGAATTTGAATAAAATCTGGTACACCGAGTTCTTTTAATTCACATGAACATTACAATTTGCATTCTCCATACTGAAGACGTTGTTGATATACCTCGTAATTGGGGCAAGCTTTTGCTCAGTTACAATAGACACGCCTTGCACAATACACTGTTTTCAAAAGATGAGCAGGGCACAAAGGAACCAGTCCATTCCAGAGATGGCTGTCGCAATGCAAAAGCTTGCCCCGAATTACGAAGTATAGCAACAATACAGTGACTTTAGTCTGGGGAACTCAACTTGTCACGCTTATGTACAATCAGAGTTTATTCAAAGTTAACTTGGAATAGGCTTTTTGCAAGCATTGCGAGGGACGGGTGAAGTGACAAAGCAACCCTCCGTAGTCGTGGCCTGTATGAGCTGGGACGAGAATCCGGTTGGGTTTGTGACTAGACTGCGCACTAAGGTAATGGCAACATTACGAAGGAAGCTGGTACACTGCTTCCGTCGTTACGGGGAACCGTCCTGTGGGAGGGTCATTGCCCACCTTGGACAGATGTGGAGTTACAATTCTAACACACGGGCTACGCAGCTCTTTGCGGCTGTCAATGAGATCGCTCTAAAATCGTGTCTTTGGTTTAGATGATATTGATTTGATACACCCTGCGTACCTCAGGACTTCGCCGTTCGTAAGGAAATACCCTAATTCAAGCTAATACTTGTATGTCGTGATTGAATGCGATTAGTCATGCCTTTTGGACTTAGTCGAAGCAAAATATGTCCCTTGGCGTTGATGGTAGCAACAGAGTGACGTATCCCAGCACTAAAAAAAAGGGCCAGGCAAAAATAGAAACAGTTTTTATGAGGTCCTGTAAACCCAAATAGGCCCTGTGGGCCGGCAAGTCTGCTTTGGGGGTTAGCGTGAAATGATACAGCCTATAATTTTGGGAATAAACAGAGCTACATTATTGAAAATATTATTCGAGAAGGAGGTCAACGTCTAGCCTCTGTCTGTGGAAACAGTGTTGGCCATATATTATGAGCTCAAGAATAGCGCCACCAACGGCATGTTACCAGCAGTGTTCTTGGCCCTCATTATTCAGCTGAATTCATACCACTTTTTTCGTGTCTGAATCAAACGGATTTTTAATTACGCCGAATAATTCATCCAGACCTCATGTTCACTACCAACTGAATGACGATGATTCTTTTAACCCCAGAGCCAAATTCACCCAAGTTCTTGAAGAGGCACAACTTGGGCAGCTCCTCCATCGTGCTGAACTGGGACTCTCCATCCCTTCCCTTCGACCATTACTATCTGGACGTTCGGCGGGACAACGCCCGCTCTGCGTCCGACCTGACGCAGTGGTCCGTCCTTCTCAACAAGACCGCCACCAGTTTCGTTCTGTCGGATCTGAAGAGGCGAGAGCGGTATAGATTCACCTTGTACTCGGCACTCGAGAGTTATGGGACCTTCAGCGAGGGGGTGGCAGCCATCTCGGTCCCTAAGGGTAAGTTGACCCTAATGTGTCCAGTATGTCTGTAAGCCTGTACGTAAGTGGACCATTACAGTACATTTTCTTCAAATGTGTAGAGTGTATGGAGAACATGTACGGCAAATACTCCAAAAGGGGGAAAAGGCTCCTGCTCGATACAAGTACGTCGACAGTTTTCCCTTTACGCTATCGTGCTTGTCGACAAAGGATTATTATACATCACTACCGACTGGTCAACATTTGCTGAAATATTCGTCTTAATGCTAAGGTGTCACTGAAAATTGTATGCAACTCAAGCAGCTGTACCACAGATTACCATGACCGAGAAAGTCCGAGAAGTCCGAGAAACCTGACTTTTGGGGGGTTCGGGACCGACATTTCATTTGTAGTATTTCCGAGTGTAAAGGAAACTTCGCCGGGCTGTATGAGTTACCATATTGGCCCATCTCTTACGACTCCAGATATATTCAGTTCAGAACTGAAAAAAAAAAAACATTTGTAATTTCGCGATAAGATGTGTTTTCTTTTTAACAGCCCCAACTCAGTCCACCGTCAGACTCGGGGCAGTGACTCTGCATGCCTTGCAGATCACCTGGGAGCCCGTCCCAAATGCCACAGACTATCACCTCAGCCTGGTCAGCGACTACGGGGACACTCGCCTCGTTCAGTTAGGCCATACCTCTGTGGATATGCCCAGGGAGTTGGAACACGTGTTCCTGGATTTGGACGACGGCATAAGATACCGTGCGATCCTGGACGTGGTGATGGCGGGAAAACCTATGAATTCCGGCTGGATACAAGGGGAAACGGGTGAGTTACCACCGCGTAATAGAGGTTATGCGTTAACGCCTCCTCAGAGGGCAAGAGTTTTCGTATCACTGGGGTAGGCTCGAGTAAACCTTTTGTGAATTCATTGTAGCTAAATTGAAATAACAAAAACAACCTCTTATGCACCATGGAGACGCCAGCAGCAGATAACCGCTACGGGAAAAATTGCAAACCATTCTCCTATTGATATTTCGACAGTTTGAAACGAAAATTTCTTAAGAACATCAACAGAAACCATCCATGGTATACGTGCATGCAGCCTATGCTCAATAACATTGTTATTAGCTATAATGATGTGGCACTTGACACCAGGGATAACGTCTGTGTGACAAATGTAACAAAAAAACCCCCAAAAAACAATAAAACAAAAAAACCCAAAAACAAAAAACAAAAAAAAAGAAATATCACAGCTTTATTCTAAGTTGTCTTCCTGTTAGTGACGAGGCTTAAATTTGACTTTTATGGATGACGTCACGGCGATATTGCGCATGTTTCGCTGGTGGGCGACACACATAAAGAACTTTCATTGCAGTGTTTGCATTTTGTCCGAATCGAGGGACTTACCATCCTCTCCTCGTCGCTCTGGGATATCAGGAGGTGACATTTAAAAAAAATTCTTATCGAACAAGAATCCTTGCAAAGTTAGAAAACCAGCTATTAGAGTTTATTTTCGACATGCGCCCACTCCCAAAGTTCTCTAGGGTGAAAAAATGCCTTTAACAACATGCGCAGTGATTGGGTTAAATGAAACTTGTACTTAACTTGAAGTGCTGAAAACGTTTCCCACTTTCCGGCATATTTTCCCGGCGGCTGACCCCAGGTAATAGTGCGTTCCCCACTCTGGCTTTATATCTTAATGAAATTGGCGACATTATTTTGCAACAATAGTTCCGGCAAGTCCTCTCGTGCTCAGCCCATGACTTTTCACACAACCAATTTACATCTGCACTTTCTGAGCCAAGTGTTTAGCTGGATGAGATTCGAAACTTCATTATCCTCGTTTCGCTTGGCTTTACTTTGCAGGACCTCTATTAAATTACGTGGTTATTCCAGTGGTTTTTTATTATAGCGACTTTATCAGTAACCGCAGGATTAGATTTAATACCGTAGCTTCGATGAGTCGTTCGCTCTGAATTATTTTGCTCCCTGCAAAACTGACTGCACGTGCGCGCGTACAAGCAATGCGCGTGAAGGCGGATTCAACACATCACCCGTGTGGCAAATACGGGCGATTCACAATAGTGCGCCTCCAAGAGTTGGCTACGCGTTGGCCAATCACAACGCGAGAAATCTGTCGCAAAATCCCTGATGGAAGGGATTGCCCTGTTATTTCATTTACACCGGACTTTAAGTTACAATCGTAAGTTCATTTTCTGCAGCGAAACCTTAAAATTATATACGTCATGTGCAAAATAAAAAGCAGATTTTTGAATACTTTGCGGCTTCGAATACCTCGACCCTGTCTATCTCCAGGAACTCGTGGACAGAATTTTCCTTCAATTAAAACTACTGATATTCAGATTGTCGGTGAAGGTGCCTGGTGTCCGCATTCGGGCAAATGTGAGATGGGAAAACACACACTTTATAGTCCAAAAAGGTGAATATCAGAAGTAAAATACATGCATGTATTGTGTACCTAGTCTTGTTGAGGATGCTTCACCTGTCTAGCATTAGGCCTTACTCCTCAGATAAACCAAATTAACAGGGTTCAGAAGCGGGTGTAAAGTTTAATTTCAGAACCCATCATATGAAGCTCCTTAAAATGTCACCCATCTTGAAACACTCTGTGACAGAAGGAAGAGAATTTGTCTCAAATTCGACCAACCACTTGTTAAACCTTCCCAATCTTGTCACTGGTTACCTCTAACTAGTGTGACCTCATTCTATGATACTAAAGGCCGGTTAATACTTGGCGCGAAAGTGAACACAAGCGCGAATTTGTGACGTCAGATCTAACATTCGGGCTGAGAATGGGCACAAAATGAACACATCCCAGTTCCAATTTTTCTGCAAACCACTCACGTTGTCAAATTCGCTTCGTCTTCATATTTGCCTCTAGTTTGAACCGGCTTTAAGAAATCATACTCATTCAAAAAATTAAATTCCTTCCCTCATCAGGCTTTTGAATAACAGAGCATCCAATTCTGTCACCAGGCTCTCCAATAACGGATAATCCAATTGGTAGTGTATTGTTCACAAGATGTGGTTGCATAGGTGGGACCTAAATGTCAGGCGTATTTTTTGATCCACTGTATATATGTTTTAATTGTTTTAACAATTTTGTGTCGTGTAATGTATTTCTTATCTAGTTTTTTAATGTGATATGTGTGAGATCATGTGCCGCCTTTTCGCTGCGATGATAATTGATAGAACAAAACAATAATTTTATTTATAACTTATGATTTCGTATCCGACTTGAGCAGAAGCACCCCCTCCACTGTTCGGTTGAAGAGTCATGTTGGTGGGGAGTGTTCATTTTGTTGGTAGCGACCCGACTTTAATTTGTGCATGTCATGGTCGTTTGTGAAACAGCGAAGCTCTCACCAAATGGGCCGTGGTTGCCAGGAAAATTGCGCCCACCCTCGGTCCAGCTCGTGGCTCGTAGGTCGAGTTTGGGCGCGGGTTTCTTGTTCTCGCGCTCGAGAGGCGGGAACACGACTCAAGAACACTGTTCTCGGAACAGCATCGCACACCACCTCCTCGTCAGGGTTTTACAGGAACACACGGAAAAACTCGTGAGATGTTGATTTTTGAACAGCTGCAAAAAATAGAGAAATGGTTTACAAAGTTGGAGACAATAGGAGGTTTTGCAAAATTAACATTAATTATTTTTCACAACACAGAAGTGAATGTTCCTGTTTAAATACAAAAGAATTCACCCCTGTTGTTTAAGCATTAACTCTCGAATAGTTTACTACGACATGGACGCCGCCATGTTGCTTGTCACTTACTACCAGTGATGACCAATTGTACGTTCCCGGCGTTTGAGCGGTCGACGCAAGAACGACAAATCAAGCTTGTTCGTGAACATACGAGAACAAGCCGCCCGAATTCAGCCCATGGTGTGTTTTGTTTGGGATTCTTCCCTTTTCATCAACTCCAAAAGGTTTTAGCCTTTTGCGGCGTCGCCTTCCGCATAGCCACCGAGTGTCTTTGCCCCCGTGCTCGAAGAGCTCATGCTGAATCTGTACACTGGCCCATGCCATCGTAGAGACGGTCTTAACTTACACACCAGCGATCTCATACTGCTTTTTTTTTTTACAATCACCACAGGAAATAGAGAGCGTTTTGCCACTGTAGCATCGGCGGTCCGGATCCTTGAACTGTTTGTTGTCGATATGAAAAGCTTATTAATTTGTACGGAATCCACGCAGCCGTGTCTCTGACCGAGCAAATTGCTGTTTATTACGACTTTTATTTCATAAAGTCTGCCTTTATTACCAAACCAGAGAACGATCAGTACTTGTCTCACGAGAAGAACAACGTGACTTTCAGTGTGTCTCAGACATGCGCAAAAGATAAATTTTGCGGCGCTGACTTACTCTAGACAAAGTACACACACCGACATAAGTTTGCCATTTTAGTAAGAACGGTTGAGTGATATAAGTGCATCGGGAACGTGAAGTGAGCGGTCTAGTTTACGCGAGGCTGGATTATACAGACAGCTAGAGAACATTCTCGTTTCATTTAGACGGGTCTTATCTGCTGGTACGGTGGGCCTTTCCCGATCAAGAACACAGCGGTGAACGAGGGGACTCTGTGGGTACGAAATGGCATCCCTCGAAAACAGCGTCGCTTGGAACGAATGCCTGTCCTCCAACATCTCTCTCTCAGTCAACGGCACAATTGGCGTTGGAGAGCGTTCTTTGCTGTTGCACTTGGCAGGCCCGATGATTGTTATAATACCAGGTTTACTTGGTAACTTGGCCTTTTTACTCGTCGTTGGTCGTCGCAAAAGCATGCGCAACGCCACCAACGTTTATCTGGCTAATCTAGCCATTGTCGACTCAATTTTATTGTGTATCTCTAGTTTTCACTTTCTGGCCACTAAATCACCAATTGCCTCCCTCTCTTTAGAATGTGCACTTACGGTGTTAGCGCTAACATCGTACTATACAAGCATGCTGATCATGTTACTGGTGGCACTGGATCGATTCTATGCTGTTTGCAGGCCGATAAAGTACCGAGCCACATCAAACATCCAGCGCAGCCTGAAACGTGTGGCAGGAGCCTGGTGTTGCAGTTTCATTTACAGCGCCATCCTGCTTTTAGAACGCATCGTGACTTCGAAGCCTTGTGGAACTTTTGTTTATGATCAACCCAAAAGCCCCTCTGTCAGTAGCTGCGGCAAGACGGACGTGTCTGAGCCGGCCTCAAATCTCAGAGACATCTTCAAAGTCCTTCCGTTCGTCTTTTGTCTGGCACTGAACCTTTGCCTGTATACGCCGATCATCAAGACTCTCAGAGATCGGTTTGTGTTTCACACCAATCGTTCCGGGAAGGAGGTGCCCGTATGGATCAGAAAGATTCACCAGTCGCGTGTCCGAATCACCAAGATGCTTGCTGTAAACTGCCTGGTGTTCTTCGTCTGTAACACGCCGAGGTGTGTCGTTGTGATCGGTAGTTACATCCAGGACACCCTTGGTGATGCTCGCTGGGATACCAACGAGAACATTAAAGTCTTGACCGGCGTTCTAGTCGTCTTGAACTGTTGCGTAAATCCGTTGATCTACAACGTGACCAACAAGAAATACAGAGAGGCTTTTCGGGAGGTATTCTGCCTTGTTGATTGTCGCCAACGGCAAGTCTAAGTTTGCCACCAATTTTTCACCTTGAGATTGCTCGAGACTGAATTGACTGTGCGGAGTTTTGACATGTAAAGTCACACTGTTAAAGTTGGTGTATACCATTCGTAAAATCCCCCTAAACCGGACTACCGTATAATGCTGAAAATATCTTACTTGAAAGAGAGAACATAAGTC